TTAACAATTCAAGGCACTTAAGCTTAAAAATTGGCTTTTATATCTGTCTGTGTGATAACTCTGAATAAACTATATGTATATTCTGCAATCATAATTCAACTTGATAACGTTTCCCCCCACTTGTAATGCACATAGCCACTGACTTCACAAAAAGTACAGTCGTGTACCCTTTGGATATATATATCAAATTATTTAGTTCAGAGACTGAATTAAAGCATTTTCTACACATGAAAAGAGCTTCCTGCCAGACATCAGTCAGTGGTCTAAACTAAATGGCCCCATGCTGAATGCCTCAAAATACCAGACTACTGACTTCTCCTTTAGGCATAAACGAGATCTAAAAAACACTACTAAGTACTCAAGAAGCCTGTAGCATTGAGGGGACTAAAATTAAAACTAAGTCTAATGCAAAATACCTCTGACTAGTTCTATCTTCCGACCTTACTTGGTCATCTCTTATCCTAACGATTTCTAAGAAAGTGATTCGTCTAACCTACTACATTAAGAAACTCAGACTAACTGGAATCACTCAACCTCTGCTTTCACAATTTGTCAACTCTCGTGTCTTACCTATTCTACTTTACTGCTCCACATTAGTCTTTCCTGGGTTACTGAAAAAGGATTATACCATCCTGAGAAGGATGTTGAAGGTAGTTAGTAGGACTAGCGGTGTAAAACTCAGTCAGCTCGTCACAACATTAGTGGATAAGCATCTGAATACATGTGAGAAATGGTCTAAAACCATACTCTCTGACCCCCAACACCCCCTCTATTCCCAACTCTCTCCCTGCATCTCATCAGGTAGAACCAGAAATCAGTACAAAATAATATATACTCGAACAACCAAGTATAGGAACTCAACGATGCCATATTTGGTCCGTGTTCTAAGTGACAGAGACAATGTTAAGCGCGAAACCTGTGACTTGGCTTGTTGTTAATAACATAATTTTGGCTCTTTTATTTCTTTCTTATTTGTATTCTATAGTGAACACTTTCTTAAACATACTTAGCTACCTAAATTATTAACATAGGCTTACTTTTTTGTGCTTTACTCTATTTCCTTCTTTTGTGTATCTAATGGTTCCCACTATATTAGCAATATGAGTATTACAAAATTGTCCTGTCATAAACCCTCATGTAATATTAGTTTTGTGGTTGTTTTTTGTTCGGCAATATTAACTGACAATTTTGGTTATAATAATAAATAATTTTTCATTCGCGCTCCCAGTGGAACATAGGGCCTCAAGCTATTGGCTTGAAGTTTCTGTAGCAGTGTTTATTTTTAAAGGATGGGTTTGCTAGCCTCAAGTCCAACCTTTCCTCTTTATCAGCATTATCTCTGGCTTAGCGATGTAAAGAAGTGAGTCGGCCAGGGATCGAATCCCGGACTATGTGCATGGTTGGCGAACGTCCTAGCCGCTGTGCCACCGATGTCATTATCACCATCTTAAAAATTTTGTATTATGCAGGATTATTCACACTACCACTACAAACACCGCATTAGAGCTGACAATAAAAACAACCTGAAATGTTTATTTTATGATTGTTTAGTGTTGTTCAATCAAATTAACTGATCATGCGATAGACGTCCTTAATATCATTTCATAACTTCTTGTATGATATAGTTTTACTGTACACTACGCAAAACACATATCATAGCTTCCACTACCCAATACTTGAATATTATTTTTGTTGTTTATTTTCCATTCTACTTCTTTGCGTTTTTTTTATTGTTTTTGTGATTTTTTATACTTATTTTTTGAAATACTCCTTTTAAATTTTTGATAAAATTAGATGCAATGTTGTAGATAAGTGCTAGAGAAAGAATGGTTACGAATAGTGAATTTTATCATTATTTTCATGATTGTTTTAATTTTTTTTACTTTTTCAAAAATTCCATGTTCCATTACAAAAAATATTTTTAAATAAATCTTTTTTAGTGTTCGTGAATTGGCATAATTTAAAATTGATGGACCATTAGATTCTATTTCAGTGACCAAGTGGTCATTAAGCTGACGTTATTAACCTGAATATCTTGAGTTCAAGCCCTGGCGGGACGATGGGTGAGTACGTCTGAAGAGCCTCGAATAGGGACGAAACAACCACCTGGTTTTCTCTGGTTTCCAATAATTGCCTGACTGACATCATCATCGTGTTCAAATTTGATTATAACATTTATTAAGACAGACATGCACTACAATATTATTAAATTAAATTGACGGATTATTGTAATGTGTTATTTCAATTTTTGAAAATTGTAATGAGAAATAGCAATGAGAATTTATCAGCCGACAACATTATAACTATCAGATCACTAATGCGGTTTAATAATAATTATGTTAAACATTTGAAATATTTATGATTATTTGTGAAATCGCAAAAAAGGTATTTTAGTCTGAAACATGGAATATTTTATTCTCATTGAGATTCAAATTCATGCAACAGGTAGCCAAATAAAATCAAACACCAGGGTAACTCTTCATTTTTAACATGCGATATTAAATTACTCCAACACATTACATAAATAACAGGTTGGAAGCTGTGAGGCAAAAGTGCTGAGTCATCTCATCTGATATATCTATAACCAGTCACATAACGAGTTGTGTAATTTCACGTCTCTTAAGAACTAAAATAATCGCTGTTTATGTTTACTGGCCATTTATTTCTTGTCTAAGAAAGGATGATCCTAAATACACCCCCAATTCGAATGAGTATCATTTAAACACAAGCTAAAACAAAGTATTCCTAATGGAATATGTTGTATATGGAAGCAAAATCTTGAAAATAAAATAATAATAATAAATAATAAAATTTGAAGCCTGAGGCCTATGAAGCAATATTTTGTTGTTACAGACTAGAAAATACTCTGACTCTGTCCAGATAAATACACCTCATAAAATCTTTTTCGAGTGCATAATTTAGGGTCAGTTGTCTACAGAATACATATTAATTAGGTCATTTCACATGGACATCAAGATGGAATATGTGGCTACAATTAACGTCCTGTTTAGGGTATGCTTCATGTATAATCTTGACGAAATGTCTTGTGACTGGAATCGATTTAACAGAAAAATTCATTCACAGTTATGACAAATATTTAAGTTGATTAAAGGGCGAGGTATTTTTATGCATAGTAAAACAAACGCTGCAACAGACATTTATTTTTGTTTTTAAATCTTTTTTGATTAAAGCTTGATTTCACACTTTATTTTGTAGTACAAGTATGGATTTTTTTCAACATGTGATATCGGTAGTCTAAATTTTGCAGGCCTACCAATTGACATCAGTTGTGTGTCAGCAGGAGGTCGAACTCCAGACCATGTACATGGTCAGCGAGAGTTCCAACCACTGTGCAGCTATGCAAAAAAAACGAAAGTCTCCCATACACCTTTAAACCAGTCAAACGTAATACACCTCATATGATTATAGCATTTTTCTGTAGGCATGAAATACAATATTGACTACCTGAAGTAACTCAAATCGTAAATGACTGTCTTCTTTCTACTTATTCAAGTATACTGAGATGAAAACGTGGCAATTTTGATTTAGCATAAGACATATCCCATCTTGGGTAAGACACTTTACAAACACACATTTTACAGATCATTCAAATCAGGTGTATTTTAAGAAAAAGAAATGTGGAGTCATATATTTATACTACTGATATAAGTATAAAACTTGGGCACTGTGGTAGAGTATAACTCCATTATGGATAAGATTTTATTTTGACAAACCACACTTTGTTGTACAGTAATATTAACTGATGACCTTGTTTCGAGCACAAACTATTGCTCATAATCATATCAAGTTGAAATATTCATACTGTACTCAGATTAAAATAAAACAGAAGAAAACTTTATTATACTAAAGGTTTTCGTATTTCCCAATGAATGAAAAACAAAACAGTTTCGTTGTGTTTTACTGACATTTCGCTATTTAATGCTAATAGCTTTATCAAAGTATTATTAAACCGGAATTTACAAAGACTCTCTATCTAATTGTGTCTGTAAAATAAAATGCTTAGAATGTGTAATGCAATATACATCGGACAAACATCTCGAGAAATCAAAATCAGAAGAAATGAACACCGTAGGGTATCTCTTCGACCACTGAGAAATCTAGTTGAACTACAAAGGCTTAAAAAATCATCAGCCATAGGTCTACACGCTACGCTATCGAATCAGTCCACAAAATTGATTTTGACAATATTGAAATCGTTATCCAGAAAAACTACAGAAATCACAAAGAACGTCTAATATCAGAAGAACTTCATATCAAGTGGAATCCGGATTGTCTGAATAGGAATGATGGACTAAAACAGAACCTGACCTGGTTACAGCACCTCCCTCCCCTCCTCAACGAAGTGACGAAATCAACACGAATGTGATAAGCAAGTTCACTATGTAAACACACACTACTTTTATAATTTTACACACTGATCAAATCCAACAATCAGCACTTGGTTTTGTTATCTTTACCAATCGACCAACTCGACAACGAAAAACCAACCCACACAGACGAATGATGATCAAGTTAGTAAACTTTATTTTGATATCATAACAGATGTACTATTACCTTTGATATTTAGTTTAGTGATCTTCATTGTTAATTTGACTTTCAATATGTCCCTTTAACTTGACCTAAGTCTATTTTCTCACCCCTTAACTCTTTGTTATATATACATATATGCTGAGATTTTGTAAATTCTGGTTTAATAATACTTTGATAAAGCTATTAGCATTAAATAGCGAAACGTCAGTAAAACACAACGAAATCGTTTTGTTTTTCATTCACTGGGAAATACAAAAATATCATATACCCAATGCCCAAATTTTTTCAAACCGTTAAAAGTGAACTTGGTTTGGACATATATGAAAAAAGGCTTTAATCGTAAACTCAAAAGTGAACAAATTTATTGATAGTATCACTCTGATTAAAAAACACAATAAAAATATTTATTCACTTATAATATTTCAATACAGTGAATATAATGATCATACCTTGAATTATGCCTTCTTATGCATGTAAGATATTTTCCCCAAGATTCAACATTACTACTGGTATATCTCAAACAGTAGCATGCATTAGTTTAGCATACAAATTAATTAAACCTTCTATACATATATATATATATATATATATATATATATATATGCAAATTCGAAAGAAGCAACCAATACAATCTGGGTAATTTGAGGATTTGTCTACTTGTCTAGTCTACTTTCGTTAATTAATTCATTCAGTAGTCCAATCATGTTTAAACAAAATATTTGCGCCATTTTGTTGCTCAGCTATTTACATTTATTATTAATATTGTTATTATTATTATGACTAATGTCATTAATTACTCATAGAACAAGGCTTCCATAATTCTCTAGACAAATAATAATAAGTTTTGTGTGACATAAACAAATTTAGAATACATTTCAAACAATATCTATCTATATATATATTATGCATAGGAAATACACTCTGAGGTAATCATTTTGTGGTGTAAAACTAATCGACATTAAGCATAGTAGTAGGGCTTGCTAATCATAAACGTTCCTATGAATAAATTAACCATAAATCTCATTGAATTTTGATAGAAATTTACATTGAATGACTAACCATTTTGTTGTTTTCCTAAATGAAACAAAATCAATAATAATTAATGTTTTTAGAGAGTTAGGTGGGAAAAAAATGAAGTATTCATTTAAAAATGAGTAAGACTTGGAATTATCGCATAGTTTATCATCGTGCATAAATTAATTTAGTCATGTTTCAATGCTACACGGGAATTATAATGCATCATATTTTGACTGGAACCTGTAGGTGAATTCATCAAATTGTGATTCTTCCCAGAAATTTGTTAGCAGCAAGGAGAAATTAATTTCAAGTGTTAGTTTGTAGGGATTTGGTTGATTGGTTACAGGATTTCATCAAGAGATGACATTGGTTAGAGGAGCATTGGAAAACCTGCTAGGGAGTACTGAACAGCCGTTACGTCCTAGTTTGGGACTCTTCAGCAGTACGCACTCGCCGGGATTCGAACCCAGGACCTTCTGATTACAAGGCGAGCGAGTTCGTATACCATTAAGCCACTGGGACCCGAACCAATGGCCCATGAATTATAACTTCATATTGGGAAATAGGAATTCCCATTAGTGAGGAATGAGGTACGATTTCAGATGCATTTTGTCCCCACTGCAGCTTTGAAGAAGTCAGTGTTTTGTAGTAATATATATATTTATATATATTCAATTGTTTCAAAATATGTTTTTAAAACGAAATAGTACAAAGATAGTCGATATTAGACAGAATAGAACACGAAGTTCAGCAAAGATGGTGATCTTTTCGCCGATTTCATTTTCAAAAGCAGCTGTACAACCGCATTGAAATACATAATTTTACATGGATAATATTCTTGTTTGATTTCACATAATCACGACAGTGAATTAAAGGTGACAATTATTTTCAACTAGATATGGTTCATGAGAGGCTTAGAAACATAATTACACAGGATTAGAATGGATAACAAGTGTGTAAAAATGAGTATGGAAACAAAATTGAAATAATTTTCAACTTGAAATGGAAGTTAGGAGGCGTGGATATAGATTACAAGAGTCTCAGAAACACAAGAATTGCACAGGATTAAGATATAATTGTAACGTAGGTATTTTAAACGAATTACACATGTCAACAGGAGGAGAATGGAAACAAACGTAAAATTACTGATTTTATAACTGAGAAAATGGAGTGAATTGGATAAAGACAAACAGAGGGAACAGAACAAAAAACTGAAGGATAAGGGAACATACTGAACTAGGTCCACGGTAGTTGTAAATGCTGGACTAGTTTCTTTTGAACACACAGCCCAGGCCTATCGATGCATATGGCGAGAGCTTCCGCAGTACAAAGATATCAGAAACACACTGTCTTCGGCAGATTTTTGTTTACTTTGTAAATGCCTCTGAATGATGAGTCAGTTGAGATGCTGTGACAGGTACTGACAACGTGTTCAGTTATGGCACTTCTGACTGAACCAGTGTCTCATCTTTGCAGCCATGCTGGATGATGTTCTCTAACATCACCCGAATAGAACAACCTATGTACCTAGCTCTGCACGGGCAGGTGAACTGATAAATGCGCATTGAAGTGGTCATATGCGGAAGTCTGTCCTTCACGTTGCTAGAGAATATCAGTCTTAGATTTGCTGCCGGAAAAGTCTTCTTCAGGGAATTGGAGATTCTTCGTTTAAGAATATCTGCTGATAGGTCTTTTCTGAATTCCAGATTCAAATAAAGTGTTTTCTCTGGCAGTGAAGTGTATTCTTCTCTTTTTGACTTTTGTGTCGTGTTCTTCTACACGAAACGCAGTGGGTATCCATTTTGAACCAGGATGCGTTTGAGAAATAGGAGCTCTTCTTCTAAACAGTCATCGCTACAAATTCTTCTGGTACGGTGGGATAGCGAGATGATGAGAGCTCTTTTACGGCTGATAGGTATCCAGCTTTAGAAGTTTGTCAGTTGACCATTACATTTGTTTGTTTACCTGTTTTTTTTAATTGCTTATAATTCTTGTATTCATTTAGAACTCCTCCATAACTTCGTATTCCCTACTTTGTTCTTATTTGTATCCTGAGTACAAATCAATCATCAAACTACTCATATTATTACGTAACGATGGTGCTACTGTGTGAAAACAGTTCAACGGAGACGATGATCAAGAGCGCAGAGTCAACATACGTCCTGAAGTCAGTGAGTTCAGGTTTCAGGGGCATATAGCAAGCCTGCGTCTACCAAAATACCACAAACCCAAGCTTTGGTAGCCACACTAAATGTCTGGCGCATACCAGCTTACATTTCTTTATTTAAATTAAAATCAAAAAATATTTGAAGGAATTAGAAACTGAATTGTAATCAACTCCATTACTTGTGGTAACGTTTTCACTTTAATAAAACACATACAGTTTATTAAGTGTCTTAGCTCATAGGCAAAGTGGGTGTCACCTTGTATTATTTACTAACCCACTACTAAAGAAAATTCTATAGTCATAAATAAATACAATGCCTAAGCACACATGCTGAAAAAACCATCTGTAACGAGACAGTACATTGATGCAATTGGTAGTGAGTCACACATGTCGTGTGACCATCAACACTTATCCAGACAGCAGCTACACGTAACAGGGATGACAATGTCAAAGGCAAGATTGGAAAGGCAAGACAAACCTTCACTAGTGTGAAGTTAATATGGAAATCTTCGGCATTCAGTATGAAGAACAACATTAGAGTTATCAACAGTAATGTTAAGTCAGTCAGCTCCATCACATTGTTTAGAGACTCACACTGCGCGTTACCAAAGATATTTCCAGAAGTTTGAAAACTTTTATCAACGACTACTATTGTGGTGAGAGCTGGCTGCTGACCAAATCGGTAGACAGTAATTTACGTCAATGTTTACGTCCCAAATATTGGTCGTTAGAAAAATATGAACAAAGACTGATTAAACAACCAATCATAGCATACTCTGCGTAGGCGGATACAGTTAACATATAGATGATCTGACATTCAAGAAACAGCCACAAAGAGATGAAAGATTAACTTTTAGTGAAAAACAACCAAGCAGAAGACTGTGTTTGTTTGCCTACAATAATCTATAATCTATAAATATGTGTTGATTTCGTAAATAAATGATCTGTTGCCTGGCCCTTGTCTTCTGTTGTTACACCATAACTAGTTTCATAAAGAATATCAGCTGGCCAAAAAGCATTAGCAACAAAAAACACTGACAACAAACCAACCAGGAACTTATCACCCAACAAATATGCTGAAAATAACACAGACCGATCGAGAACATTCCGGGAGACTGTTGAGTGGTATCCTGCCCCAGGAAGGCGTTCGAGTGGAACGCGATTGGGAAAGGATAAGATCTCGCATGCAAGGGTGACATCTAGGAGGTCAAGTAGAGTCACCTGGTACAGACCTCTGAGAAGAGAATGAGATGAAGATGTACTGTTGACGCCCTATGTTCTACTTTGAACCCAAGAGAATAATCATAAATAGTAATCGTATTAGAACTGATGAATGCATTTGGCTGACCGAATCTTAGTAGATGAAGCAGGTTTCCTACCCTTGACGCGTTAGCTCGAAGTTAATTTCTCATTCCAGGAAGTAACAGTTCATTCGGCGACAAACAAACATTGACTATCTCACTTGTCCAACACAAGCAACCAAACATACTCACTTGCATCACGTAAAAATAAAAACACATTGGAATTAAGTTTCGCTTCTATTCGTATCAAAATTAAGTGATTTATTCTAAATTTATTATCACCTTGATTTGGTTGTTAATTTTAATTTTTTAGGTTCCCTTTTTGTCCATAGGATACACAATGCGATTTGTTAATTCTTTCTAAGAATAAGACAAAATGAAAAATTCCTACTTTTACTACTAGTGTAGCGGGAGAAGACAAGAGACTCAGTAACAAACCCTTTTGTTGAGAAAAACCACATTGTAACGACAGGAGACAAGGGCCACGCTACAGATCGTTTATTGAGAAAATCAAGAAACAATCATAGATTTTTATATACATTATTATTAGCGTTATTGTTAGCAGAGAAGTCAAGTCTTCTGATTGGTTGTTTTCTTGCTCAAGGTTATTCTGTCATCTTTTTCTGACCGTTTCGTAGAAAGTAAGGCCATATATCTGCGAATCATATTTGCACACGTTTAGAACTCTGTGATTGGTTGGTGAGTTCCTCAATGTTAAGCCTTGTTATTGCTTTTTTTCATGACCCCGATTTGGGAAGTAAACACTGACGTAAATTGTTGTCTACAATTCTGGCTAGCAGATAGCTCTCAACACAACACAATATTTCCACATTTTTAGCTAAATTAATGGTCGGTTATGACAACGGATAATAGACTATCCTGATTGGTTGGCGATTTTCTGAAGTTAAATACAAATTTGAGAAATAAACAATTCTGCTCCTGTAGTCATTGTCTTAAAATGTTGTTTTCAATTTTGGCTACTTTTTATTACAACAACACAATAAGTAGACGTAGTTTATCTGAAACGTGTAATGTATTGGCGCAACACATTTCGGAAATTCTGATCACACACGTACATGTCATACACAGTTTTTATAGAGGGCAACAAGGCATGAATAATTACAATACAGGTTAGATTGTGTACGGGTCAAGGTCACAAATAATAAGTAGGGAGACGCAAAAGGTGTGGGTGAGGAAAATAAAAAGAGAGTAAACAAGGCAAAGAAGGGGTTGAAAATATGATGAAGTAAAATGATATCATTCTATTTCACAGGTCCTCATCAGCTGCAGACTAACTGAAATTACAACGGTTATATAGATGATAATGACATACTTTAATGTTCGAGTGGTGGTAGAAAAGAGATACCATAAAATTGACGCATCTAAATGAAAGCATTACAATGTTTTTAGCTTAAGTTTTCATCATCAATTTATACGCTTTTAAAGTTGAAAAGAGGGAGAGGGGTAAGACAGAAATCAGAAAAATTGATTAACAGAACAGTTTAAGCTTGTAGGTTCACATAGCAACTCAAGAAACAAAAGCGGTTACAGTTTGCGAGATTAAGATTTGTTCAGTGAGTTGAGATCACTGAATTAGATGACTAATCAAAATCAAAATTCTGTTACCAAGGGAGTGAGAGGTTAATCACAGTCTCTTTCTGTATGCATAAGTCTGGTTTAAGCCGTTTGATTGCGATTGCTTCGGCAA